CTGATGCTCAACCACAAAAACCCAAAGAGGCTGTAGCACAAAAGCACTAAGCAATCCTAGTAATCCACCATGCTCATCATGAAGGACTTCCATGTACAGATATAGAATAGTTCAGTTGGAAGGGACCTACAACCATCGTATAGTCCAACTGCCTGACAACTTCAGGACTGAAGGACAAGGACAACCTCAACCAGGACAGACCTCAACAGGTACCCCAAAGAAGCAGTCCCTTCATCTGAACCAGAGCTCATAGCACAACACAGGGCTCACTTCTGCACATGATGTTTGGGCTAACAACCATGTGCAAAGTTTTCAGCACTCCCTTGGTAATTTGTGGCCACTTGGAAGCCAGAAACACTTTCATGTGGGCAAGACAAACACAATCACTCCAGGACAGCCCTCTAACAGTGCAAGAGAACTCAAAGCATTGCAGAGGCCACCAACACCCTTCAGCAGTGTTAGATTTAAGACATTCTTGCTTCCTTTGCAAAGACTTCTTATCTCACCAGTTTTGCTCCCAAAGCAATTGTACAGCCTTTTTTCCTCCGAACCACCTAGCTATCAATCAGCTATTTGTCAGCGGGAGTTTGTGTGCTAAAACCTCCATAGCAGGTTTGCAGAGCACCTCTAACCCACCCACCCAGAGCTATTTTTTCAAGCAATTTGGTGTTTAATCACAACCTGAACACTCAACCCACCCTCCCAGCCCTCCGAGGACCTGGCCCACACACATGCTGTTTACACTGCAGCCCACACAGTAGCTTGGCCAGCTCCTTCCAGGATCTAGCCCTCACTGCTGGGCATGGCATGCAGCGCACGCTGACAACTGGACTTTGTCCTGTTCAGTTCCATGGTGCTGAGCCAAACGCTGGCTCAGCTCCACCCCGAGTTTCATTGCTGTTGTGACTCGTTCTCCCTGGGCTGCCCCGGATCATCTTGCAGAATGGAGAGTGTAAAATTAGAGGAGCTTTCAGGGAAGTGACGATGAGTTCTGCATAAAATGGTGGCCAACTTGGGTTTAACACAGGAGAAATGAACAGGCTCCAGCTCAGCACTTCAGAGTCCCTTGGTCCCCACTAACATCTATATTAGATCTTCCGGGGTAGGAAAAAGTGTTGAGAGAACACTCTGGGAGCTGAATCCCCCTCTTTTAGGGGGGGACAGGTACACATTTCACCCTTGACTTCTAAACCCCCAGAAAGCCGGGTCAACCCCTTAGGGTAGCCCTCACACACGTCCCAAGTGCTCTGGGAACAGAAGCTGGCACCCAAGAGCAGACACAGCGATGACACACAACAACACATCCCCACCCCAAGTCGCACAGACAGGGAAGTAGTGTGAAGAGCTGCGAGCAGCCACCATAGGACTCAGCCATGAACTTACACCCCCATCTTGCTGAACCCTTCCATAACAACCACAGCAGCACCAGGCAAGCTGGCTTTAGGCCAGACTCTTCCACAGGTCCCCACCACGGGCCATACTAATGCTGCATCTTCCGTCATCCCTGGCTCAGCATGGCTGCAAGCCCCACGGCTCCAGTAAAAGCTTCTGGAGCAACAGCCCCAGTGCTGAAACAAAGCAGGGAGCCACATAGCCCCAGCCTGCAGCCTCAAAACTCTGCTAACCCCACTGCAGCGTTCTCCCCTTCCTCTCCATTCCTGTGCAACTGGTTTCCTGCAGGGAATAGCTCCCCAATTGCTTTGAAGAGGAAGGCATTAACTTAAAGATCTTTGCTTTCAATTTATTGTGTCATTAAAGATGAACTGAGACAGACTGATTTGAGTTGGATACTAGTGGCATTTTAGTGACTAATGGGAAGATTACTTGGCCAGACCAGATGAGAACTGCAGGGACAGACAGAAAACAAACAAAAATGCCAATGTACCCATGCTCACACGTGCCCACCCACACCTACACAGACAGAAACCATTCATCTTATCCATCTGATGCTCACCACAGCATTCACCACATCACACAAAGGCTGCATGGGGTATGGGCAAGCTCATGGAGACACCATATTTCAGGCAACAACTGAGACAACATTCACCATCTCTGTGTCTCACATAGCACTCTGCAAAGGCAGAAAAGGTGCCAGGAAGAAACATGGTCCTGATTTAGCATGCATAGGGAACTGCTCCCCACAGGGACTCACCAAAAACACATGGTCACCCATTTCTCCTTGTGGAGCTTAAACAGAAAAATAAATACAGTCTGAGGATTGAGGGTGACCCCTCCAGGTTCAGGATCAGTGGGGCCATTTATAGCCTTACTAAAAAGAGTCTGAGGAAATAAAAAAAAATAGTAAGTTTAATTCCATATTCTGCTTCTTATGGCTCTGTATTGCATTTTCCATCTCCCTGGTGCACAGCTGACATTTGCACATTGCACTTGCCTGCACGATATGCAGAGAAAGGAGTGGAAGTGACTGAGCCTGGCTGTCTCTTGCTACTGCCAAGCATCAGTCCCATCACCTGCAGCTCCCTGTCGTGGGAGCCAGGCTGCAAAGGGCTTGGCCACCTCCCAGGAAAGCCTGGCATGTGATATGCATGTCCCCCTCCTGTAATGGATGTCAGGATCTAACAGAGTCCAGAGGTTTGTAGAGAGAAAAAACATGCTTCCTTAGAGCGGATGAAATGTACAGGCTGAGCTGTAGCTGAATCTCTTTTGCCTTTTCTTTCAGATGATCTCCTCAATTAGGAGAGCCAAGGCAAGCTCAGAGCAATTGCTCCCTCCTGATTCTCAGCTCTGAGGTTTGCTGCTTCTACGTGCAGACAGATGTGTACGCTCCAAAGCCAGCCTGCATTCACAGAGCAGTCTAATAAAAGATATCCCTCCTAACAGCAAACCCTGACTCACTTCCCTCTCGCCTCTACCAGCAGGTCTCCAATGGCAGAGCAAGATCAACCAGAACAGAAGATCCTGCCAGCTTTCACTCTGGTTCCCACGTCCATCTGGGAGAGCAGGGCTGGAAGCACATCACCTTCCGTGCTACAGCAGCACACTCTGTCCCGCTACTCTGCCACGGAGCCAGACACACTGTGTGATCCTCACCAGCATCTTCCCGATGGGAAACTTCAGGAAACACATAGAGTTCAAGCTGCATACTCGCACAACCAAGCAAGGTTTTGGAAGGGATGGAGAGAGGACCATACTCCTCCAGCTGCCACAGCTGATGGGTCTTTGTGATGCAGTCTCCCCATCCTGGATGAAAACCCAGACTACATCTCTCTGTATGAGCACACTTCCCTCACAGGCTCCAACAGCCTCCAAAATAAGAAACCCATCACCCACCTGCACACACTCTCAGGGCAGAACTGTGGGGTTTTGATGAAGATTTAAGACCCATGGAAAAAATTGCTGCACCAAAACTCACTTAAGAGAAGGAAAGCATAAAAGATCCTTTAAATGCACATCCCACCAGGCTGGCAGCCCAATCCAGACTTGCGTCCTGCCTCCAACAGAAGAGCTTTTAGAAGCTATAAAGCCTTCCCAGGGAAAAGGCTGCACCCAGCCACAGAGGTGTGCTTCAAAACTGCAGGAGCCCCAGGAAACCTTGAGCTCCTGTTTATCACTAATGACAAATTAGGGGTTCTGGAAACAGGACTATTTGGCACAGTTATCACAAGACACAGGTAGTCACGAGCAAGTGCCCAAACGCAGCCAATCTCCTGCACACCTGAAGAACAGCTCCCAGGAGCTGCAATCCAGGCGCAAATCCTGCATGGAGCTACATCAAACTGCACGTGAAAGAGTGGAAATAAATTCACGTGGTGCCACAGAACTTCCCCAAACTGCTCACACCAAAGCAGCAAAACAGCTTGACCCTGGATATCCCCAGGATCACTTAAATGCTGCACAAATCCCAAGCCTTCAAATCCCAAAAGAGCCCTGTGTTCTAAGTCCACGCACCGGCAATGCATGCAGACCCTGCAAGGAGCCAGGAGCGGATCTACTTCCAGTAACCACGGGATTACAAGACAGGAATTGAAGAGGAGGATGAAAGCAGCAGCCGAGGGTGAAACCGCTCTCCCTGCTGTGTCGGGCCAGCAAGAGCTGAGCTTGGCCGCCGTCGGGCCCTGGCGAAAAGCCGCCGCCGCACACCCACTGGTGCTGGCACACGGCTCCCACCTCCGCTATGCTCCTCTCTTCCCGTCGGGTGCAGAGGGCTGAGGTTCGGTGCCGGCAGAGAATGAATCCTCCCGGAGCATCAGCCTGACTCACGGCAGAGCTCCCCACGATAGCTCCTCATTCCATCCAGGTGAAAATGCAGCTTCCCAGCTCCGCCAGCCGGCCCGGCCACTCATGCCATGCGGGTACCGGCTTCCATTGCCCGCCACAGAGCCTTTCTCCCCGCCGCTTATCCCATCCCCACCACTCGGCGCAAGCTGTGCAGGGGGGACTTTGCTCAGGATAAGGACAGAGAGTGAAAGTTGGGCATTCCCACAGCTCCCTGGCACGGTCATGCTGCTTCCCACAGAGGCAAGACCCAAGTGACTGCAGCCAGCCACACACCGACGCGCTCAACAGTCCAACGCACCCCGAAACCGGGATCTATCATCAGCGGCAGCCGGGACAGGCTTCCAGGTACGCTCATAGCACAGGGCAATAAATACTGGGGAAAACAGTCACCCGAGTGCGCTACCAGGAGGCGAGGTCTGTGCTGGGAAAGGTCAGTGCCCCAAGGGGAGGCCGGTACTGCCCGAGCTCCGCACCCCAAACACACCATCCCCCGCCACGACAAGCCCCTGCTTATCCCCCCTCCACGGCTTCCCAAGCCCAGCCGAGCCACCTGCCCGCAGGGACGAGCCCCGCTTGCAAGACTTAGACGGGGAGGAAGAAAAAGCGACCGAAGCCATGACCCGGCCGCAAAACTATGGGTCACCGCTGAGAAAAACACAATTAAAAACAAACTGAAAGAGCGAAACGTACCCGCAGCGGGTGTAAGGACGGATCGACCGCCGAGCGCCCCGTCCCCTGCCGTGAGGAGCGGAGGGACTTACCGGACCGGCGGCGCGGCTACCCGCGGAAGGGCATGTCCCGCGGTTCGGAGCAACTCAAGTTACCGCGGTTCGGAGCAACTCAAGTTACCGCGGATCGGATCGGCTCCGCTCGGGTCGGGTAGGCTCCGATCCGCTCGGCTCGGCTCGGCTCAACTCAGCGTGGCGACAGCAACGCGATGCGGGGCGGTGCACAAAAGCGGGAGGAAGCGGTGACGCGCGGCGCCGCTGCTGCCAATAGGACGGTGAGGAGGGGCTGGGCTGGCTCCGCCCGCACAGAGCGAACGAGCGGTCCGAGCAGCGGTACCGCGCCACTGGGGGGCGCCACCGCCGCGGGGCCCTCTGGAATGGGGGTTAACTTGGTGATGGGAAACGGTGCTGAGACCCCCGGGAGATGGGGCTTCAGGGGTTGAAAGCCTTGGAGAAGCTGGAGGAACCTTCCCCCAGCAGAGCCTTCTGCAGTGTCTGCGCAGCCAGGATGCGAAGGTGGAGTGAAGGGATTGCATGATAATGACTTGGTTGGTTTGGGTTTGCCACTTCTGGGGGGAACTGAAGCAGAAGTGAGATAGATTAAAGCCAAAGGGAGGGGGAGGCTCTGGGCTGTCAGAGCCTGCTCACCAGAGCACCTCAGGGCTCTGTGGGCAGATTTCTGGGAGGTAAAGCAGCCTCTAGGCTGCCCAGTTTACACCCACCTGTCACAGAATCACAGAATGGTTTGGGTTGGAAGGGACCTTTCAGATTATCCAGTTCCAACCCCCTGCCACGGGCAGGGGCACCCTGTACTAGACCAGGTTGCACCAAGTCCCATCCAACCTGGCCTTGAACACTGCCAGGGATGGGGCAGCCACAGCTCCTCTGAGCAACCTGTGGCAGAGCCTCACCACTCTCACAGGGAAGAGCTTCTTCCTAATGTCTAATCTAAATCTTCCCTCTTTCAGTTTAAAGCCAGTCCCCCTTGTTCCATCACTACAGGCCCTTGTAAAAAGCCCCTCTCCAGCTTTCTTGTTGGCCCCTTTAGGCACTGGAAGCTGCTTTAAGGTCTTCCTGGAGCCTTCTCTGAACAAGCCCAATTCTCTCAACCTGTCTCCAGAGCAGGGGTGCTCCATCCATCGGAGCATCTCTGTGGCTCCTCTGGAGATACTCTGACAGGGCCACATCCTCTCTTGTGTGTCCAAGTCCTTTTGGGCTTGACTCTCCATACGGGGAGAGCTGACAGTGCAGTAAAAGCAAAACTGACCCCTGAGCAAAGGGCCATCAAGAGCCCTGTGCCTGAAAAGCAGGCTGAAGTGGGACCTATGTTTTGTACCAGGTATCACTCAGACTGGTGGGAAAGAGAGAAAACTCATGCAGACAATGGAAAATGTAAGTGAGACTATTTCTGTGAGTATTTCCTGGTTTCCCCATTTACTAAATGTGTTGTGGAGAGGAACAGGAACAGCCAGTTCAAGATTTGGGGGAGGTGGGAGGGGAAGAGAAAATTGTGCAGAATCCTAAATCCAGACCCATTCTCCTCAAGTTTTTCAGGACTTGCTGCTGCAAGAAAGTTTGAGCCATTGCCCATAAAGGCAATAGAAACCCCAGTCAGGGACCCCTCCTGAGAGATTCAGATCTCACATCCTCATATACAATCGCGTGACCTATTAATAAAATCCATAGAAACCAATTCTGTATATACCAAATAACAGCAGATGGCTCCAGCCCAAACCGCTCCGGGTTCCCTCACTCCATAAATGATTTTTCCTAGGGCCAGCCGCGATCTTGATGTAATTGAATAGGTTTCACCCTTTTCTTTCTCCCTCCCCCTCCCCAGAATATTTGTGCAGCTTACAGAGAGACATCCAGGGGGACTGAGCTGTTGCTGGAAGGAACTTCTGACTCCAGCTTGCCTCATCCGTTAGGGAAGCAGCATAAGTCTATCTTAAGCCACCTGGCTTTGGGAAGGAGATTGCCTTTCTCTGCACCTTCCCTCTAACTCTTAACAGCTTTTAATAAAATCCTGGTAACTTGGCACATTCGAAATGCTTTGGCTGCTGCCCATCAGGGATGTATGTAATGAATTCTTGTGCTGCAGATGCCTTTCTGAAATAAAGCGTATGTGTTTACCTTGGGAACCAGGCACAGGACCCCAGGGCTTCAGGTTCAAGTATTATAAAGCGCTAAGAGACAAGCAGCTCCTTTAAACCTGCTGGGTTTAATGGGAATCAGTTAGGCAAGCACCAATTACTGTTGAGAACTTCTTCCAAGCAGCTTCTCCTTTCCAAACATATTCGATGCCCCGGAAATCCCTCTACAGGGACTTCAGATCTAGGGTGTTCCTAAACAATATAAGGATCATCATATGTGTAAAGACTGTTTCCATTGATGTCAACAGCTCTCTGCTGATGGGCGTGCTAAGTTTCTGCCCCAGATTCTGCCTCCTCTTGAAAACATTTACAAAGCCTGGCAGAAGAACAGGCGGAGGTGTGTGGCTCTGTGCGTAGTTTCACGTGTTCTCCTACAAATGCCGGCTGACAGACTTCACCATGTTTCTTCAGAGGAGTGAAACCCTGGTAAAGAGGCACAGAGGAGAGCACTGGTAAAACCAGTGTGCTGCACACAGTGGTTGTAGTGGCTTTGTACAGGGAAATAATATAGATGCAGGCTATTCTCTGTCCCTGAGGACAACACGGCATGCTTTGTACCCATGCAGCCAAACTCTCCCTTGTTCTCCAAAACAGTGTCCAAAATGCTCTTAGGAAACATTCTTTGGTGCATGCTGTCCCATGCCATGTTGGTGTATGTGCCAGCTAGTGAGATTAAAACAGTGCCACACATAAAATGTCTAGATGTGTGCTTTGCTTCTTCCTAGTTGACTGGTATACATACTGGGATGGAGGTGAATGACTACATCATCCTGATAGTATCTTCAGTGAAAAGTTTGATGGCACAAGTGGGTAATAGTGAGCTATAAGAAAAGCTGATGGCTCATCTACAGACCAAGAACTTTGCAAATCACAGCCCCAGGCTGTTCTTATTAATGCTTCTCCTTTGATGACGTAAGCATTAGTATTTGCTGTGGGGGGAAAAAGGGGAAGATATTTGGCGTTTCCCTAACTGCTCCTATTCCGGGCTATGTTAGGGTTCCTGCAGGAAGTGAACACAGGTCCCAGAGCACCGACCCAATTCTTCTGCGGCTAAGTATGCTCTGTCTAACCTGAAATTCTCCCATGCCTTCTGTTTGATATAATATCCTTTCTTACTTCCTGTCCTAAACGGCAGCATAAAGCTGTTGTGTGCTGTGAGACGTCTGTCAGGCTTTCCCATCGAGACGGCTGCATATTGGCGGTTGGTGAAATCATTCCTATACTTAGTTTGCAAACTGTATAGGAATGATTCCATCTTGGTGTAAAGAAAAGAAACTGATTCCTCACTCAGGAACTGTGCTGCTTCACAGCTGAAGGCTGAAGCTGGCAATGGGCTTGGGTGGGATTTCAGCACATAGACACAAGCCTGTGATGCTGAAACCTCTGCATGGCAGCTTCTGGGATTGGCAGACCTGTGTTAGCTGCAGCTCCTCCTCACCCCAGATTAATCATGGGTCTGCTGTTTGCTGTGGAAAAGCAGATGGAAAAAGGGGGATAGAACTGTCCTATGTCCCACCTAGTGATATTTCCCATAGAGAAGCCATATTGATTTTGCTTAAATATTTCCCACCTGTTCTGTCTGCTGCAAAGCTGAGCGATTTGGGTCTCCCTGATGGATAAAAAACCTGGTCAGTACCCACAGACCATACATGTCAGTGTTTCTGAGGGGTTTGTGCTGTTCCCAGAACATGCTTGAATGAATGCAGAGGTTTGCTGGGGACAGATCTTTGGGGATGGCATTTCATTGTACAAGAACCATGTAATGGAATGGTTGAGAAGGGTGTGAGTCAGGTTCAGATCCCTATTGCTGAGGGGCTGCATGATTCCCAGCTGCCTTTCTCTTCCTCTCCTGTTACATGAAACACTGCCTGGATGATCGACCATATGCTCTATGCATCAGATACTGAAATCTGCTGTATGAAAGCCTTCACAGCCAGGCAAGAGCAGCAAGTGATCTCTCCGGCTTGATGGGTTTTGAAACCTTTCCTCTTCCTTGGCAGGAAACAAACAGCAGATAACACCTCCTGCCCACACAACAAATTAACTTCGTGGTTAGAGCTTGGGTTTAAACCTCCTTGGGCTGAGGAGGAAATGCTGGGCTCTTTCCCGGGCTCGGTGTCTGGGACATACCTAGCATCCACTCCAGCCCAAAAGGTAGGTGGCAGCAGCAGCAACCGTATTTTAAAAGTAAAGGTTCAGTCCTGCACTTGGAAGGTAAAATTCATAGGCCTTGTCCTAGACAAGAGGGTTAAGAGCATGAAAACCAAAGAGCAGAGCAGAGGCACACTCTCCATGCACTGTTACCCATCGGCCACTTGGGAATACTGCAACACCCCATCTTGGAGGTTAAAAAGTTGCTCTGTGAAGGGGTCAGAGCAAAGGGGTGCCCCCCAGCCCTCTTTAGAACAGTGCTTGTGTTCATACACCTATCTGTATGCAGCTGACAGGAGGGATTTTTCAGATCTTAAGAAATAAACACAGAAGGCTAAGTGTGACACACAGAGGAAGACAGCAGCATGCAGCAGCCAGCAGAGTGGATCAACCGAAAGGAACAGGTTTTAACTCATATTTCTTTCAAGCTGGGTGTGACTACAGTGAGATTGAGTTGTGTGGATGTTTGGGGTTTTTTCCTGGTAGTCATCACATGCACTTTCATAGCTGAAGGTAAGTTTCCACGCTGTCTGTGTTCCATGACTCACCATGCCCAAACAGAGGGAAAAACATCTGCAAAAAAGACAAAGTGAAAGTGAAGAGGAGATGATTTCTGGGCGAGTTGTTAAGCTAATGCTGTTGGAGAGCATTTCTCTGTGATGCTTTTCATAAATGCACGGAGCCTGGAACTCCTGTTATCCAAACAGTACTTGCAAGGTGAATCTATGCATCACACTGATTAAAGGTGTGGAGCTGAAAGCCCTGGAGAGTT